CCTGGGGGAGCCCTTCCTGCTTCTATCTCACTGGTCATAATATATCATGTGGCCACCACTGGCTGGAAGGTATCTAGATACGGAAGGGGGAAGGTGGATCAGAATGGTGTTGAATGAGCCATCATCTAGTATCTACCTACCATACTGCCTTCATGTCAAAGGAGCAGACAGATGGGAAGCAAATAACTGCATCATTAAATAATCATTTACTGCTCCTGGGGAGTCTAAGTGTTAATTCAGAGAGCGTATGTCTCAGATTGGGTTTCTTTTGAAGGAGACCCTGAGATAAGGATTTGAGGGCAAGTAATTTTATTTGGGGTGGGGGTGGAGTGATCTTAAGACCCACTGGTCCAAAAATGGGGAATTGGGATGGAGAAGGAAAGAAACCAATATAAATATGCCATTGAGCAAGTCAATGTGGTGGGCAATTGGGGCTCAGTGCTGCTGGGAGCTCTAGGGGACAGAGTAGAACAGGCCTCAGAGATTTCCCCTCCCCTAAGGGGTGAGACAGCTGGGGCTATGGTCCTTCAACTCCACGCATCCTTGGCTATTCCTGAGGGCCTTAACTCTTCAGTTAGTCCGGCCTTCTCACTTCGGGGGAAGAGTCCGGATGTGGGAGTCACGCATCCTATGTGTGGTAGGATCATGTAGGCATGGGTTGAAAACCTGGGTGTCTAGGGGGCTGTAGTGTGGCATTAACCACACCTAAATCAGTATATCATAGGTGCCCTTAACCTGCATTGGGGTGTTAGCTAAGCCCTTTCTGAAGAAGTAGTTTTTGAGAAAAAAAAAAAAAGCAGGGATTAGTATGTTCCAGTTAAAGGGAACAGCATGTGTGAAGGCCCAGAGGCAGAAAGAACTTCAAGTGTTCAAGACCTGGGTATGCGATGCTGGAGAGGCAAGCAGGTCCTCAAGCCTAAAGAGTTGCACAAATCCAGATTTCATTAATCAAAAAAGTATTGTTTTTCTCATGACAGCTGATGCTTCATAATGAAAGGTAAACTTTCTTCCTAATATGCTCACATCCTCCCTCCCTTCTGCCTGCTCATTTAAGACATAGTTCCTCTTTATGGTCTAAAAATGCACAGTTCCCACCCCACCCCCCCACTTCTCAAAGCGCTTCCCACTTATTTTAGTAACGATATTGGTATGACTCCGCTCAGTCTCAAAGTGCGTTTATACCCATCCTCACCACCTCACCCCATTCTCATAGTGCCCGTCTGGGATTGGCAGGTACGAGTACCTGCATTTTGTAGCTGAGAAGGGAGGCAACACAGCCTGTAAGATGCTGATTTAAGACTCAAAAGCAGCCTGTGGGATCCTGGTTCAATGCTGTTTTCCCACACTCTAGTACCAGCATGGTGCCCAGTGTGGCTTAGTCCTAATGCTGCGGCTTGCCTGGGTTCTGTCTCAGGAGCCTTCAGGTTTTCTCATGCTTCTGCTGTGGACTGTCTGAGTAACGATATCATCCCATGTTTAATGTGCTCCACTCCTCCCCAGATTCATTGAAAAACATTGCTTTAGTGACTGAGTATGATTCAGATAGATTCTATTAAAATCCTCAAGAAAAATAGAATCATTGAAAAACCTACAAGGTTATCTCTGCAAAGGGGTTTGGAAGAAGGTCTTCTTATGTAGATGAGGAAAAAGGTGGGGCTCAGGGAAGGTGCATTTGTTTGCTGGGTGTAGGGGGCATCTGCCTGCTTTTGCCCCGTCCCTTGGTTCTAGCAATAACATGTTGGTTTTCCTTTGGGAAGACAGCTGAGTTGGCCAGATAATGTACAGGACACTCAGTTAAATTGGAACTTCAGATTAAATTTCAAACTTTCTAGAGTATAAGTATATCCCAAATGCTGCATGGGATAAACTTATACTAAAAATGTATTCCTCATTTATCTGAAATCCAAACTTAACTGGGTGTCCTGTATTTTTCTTTGCTATATCCGGCAGCCACACACCTCTTTATTCACATGGTTACCTTGGCTCCGGGAGTAGGCAGGTGATCCAGGTGTGGCTATTCAGTGCATTCTATCCCTCTGACCCACAGGGACTGGCTCAAAGGTGGGTATGTAAACTTCAATTCTGGAAATCTGGATTACACTATGGAAAAACAGATTATTTGTTGTGGGGGGGGAATTGCTAAGCTGTGAAAGGTAGCTCCTGGGGTGCAGCAAAATCAAGTCTGCTTAAGAATGAAGCCAAGAGAGGAAAATAACTGAGAGATGGAGATAAAGAGAGAAGAGATGAAACCTTAGAGACATCATTGGGGGTCCTGGGACCAGCCTCACTAAATTTTTTTTTTTTAAGAGGGCATCTCTCATATTTATTGATCAAATGGTTGTTAACAACAATAAAATTCAGTATAGGGGGGTCAATGCTCAATGTACAATCATTAATCCATCTCAAGTCTAATTCTCGTCAGTCTCTAATCTTCTGAAGCATAACAAACAAGTTCTTACATGGTGAACGAATTCTTACATAGTGAATAAATTCTTATATGGTGAACAGTACAAGGGCATTCATCACAGAAACTTTCGGTTTTGATCACGCATTATGACCTATAAACAATCAGGTCAAATATGAATATTCGTTTGATTTTTGTACTTGATTTATATGTTGATCCCACATTTCTCC